AGTTATGATTGCATTTATTACATGTCTTTGCTATAAAACATATATAGCAGTTACTATGCCATATATTCAAGACAATATGATCCTTCTAAAAGTAGTGTTACTTGCAGGTTTATATTCATTAGGTACAGACTATTAAATTGTTCTAGATTTCTTTTTTTTTTTTTAATGAAACACTAAGCTAGAATTTTAATGTATATATCTTGATGCCTAACAGCTGGCTTGAAGACAAAACATCACCAACATCATGACAGGAAACGGAATTGTTATTGGAATATCATGTGAAAGCTATTAAAAATCATGTGAGCTATTAAAAACACCATTTTCACTTTTCTTTAAAGTTTCAGATTCTCTTACCTCTTGATCTTTTTACTTGAAAATGTTTTGGGGTGGTTTGTTGTTTGTGGGGGTTTGTTTTTTTTAATACTATTTAAAGGCCAAAAAAAGTAAGTAAAACACTTCTGGATTGCACTCACCTGTCCTCAGGGCATAAATTACAAATGTTCTTAACTTTGATCAGGTGACTGAGTGCATTAATAGAATGAACATGAGGAAACTGAAGCAATAAAATGTTATGTATAGGACCTTATTTATCTTAAGTAAATCTCTACTCAAGTTGAAAGGACTATTAGCAAATCTGTACTTCTGTAGGAAGCCAACCTTAATGAGGTTGCTTTGTACTGTGCAATCACACAGCCAAGCAAGAGATGATACTTCACAGTACTCTATTTGGAGACCTCCAATGAAATACCAAATAAAATCTCAGTACTTAAAGTCTGTAAGAATAGCTCATTTATAGTAACTTTCTCCTTTGTGAATTAAAAGTTCCAGTTTAATATTTTAGAGATAAACATCCCAGAGTTCTTGAAACACCTGCAACTTTAGAAAATTTATAATTTCCCTTCCTCTCTAAGTTCTCTTAGATGTGGCAATATTTGCACATCCATGTTTAGGATTGATTGAGTGGGATACACAAAAGAAAAAAAAATGAACTTCAGCTAGTACAGAAGCTTAATGAAGTCATCTATCATTATTCCTAACATATTCATCTCTTTCCAAATTATTAGCAGCTGATGATTGTTTTCCATACAAAACATGAATTCTTCATTCCCCATCTTTTGGGCTTCCACTTCTATTGCCTCTGTAATCTCCATTGATTTTCCCTTTACAGCTCTATTTCATGTCCACGTAACACTTCCCCTTTATTTATTTCCCTTATATTTTATTCCAAATTTACTCCATGGACCACCATCCAACTTACTTCACTTGTTCCCCTCTCTTTTGAAGTACACAGCTTGCTACCAGGCAGAATCTACCCTTTTTAATATCTGCCACATTTGGAAAGCAAAAAATAGGATGTTAAGGAGATACAGGCAAGCCTGCTTCCAGCAGATACAAGAGGAGAAACTCCCTGCTGTGTTCCGAATTCAAGATCCCACATATTACACTTTCTCTCATGGCCTGCAGTGTCCTTCTTCTTCAAGGACTATCTTGTCAAGTCTACTACCAACGGTCTCCTCCAAAACCGAGGAAGAAGTAGAACAGTAGGTTAGTGCTAAAACGTAAGTCTTCAGGGTTTCAACAGACACAGTTCTCAGGATTCCTCCAAGCTGCACTCAGAGGAGTAATGAAAATGTCATTAACTGCTGTCCTATCCTGTTTCCTTGGCCTCTCCTATGTAGACTGTGCCTTGGACTGTTCCTTGCAAGATACTCAACGGCAAATTCCTTTAATTGAGTCTTAAAACATTGCATAGAGGAATATACCTATAGTTATGCGTGTTTAGCACTGTATGAATACATATATTTATCTACAGAATGAATTTTTTGAAAATGCCTTTTTTTTTTTTTAAACACACAAATGTCCATGTGTTTCTGGGGCTTTTCACACAAAGTAACTCACTTGGAAATTTTGCACATGAAGTCTTTCCACTTTGGTTTATATGAAGAACAGTAGGCAAAGGATGAAAAAAACCCTCTTAGGCTTGACCCAAACAGAGCAATTAAAAGGCCTATTTGTTTGCCTAATTTAAGCATCTGCTTAATTTTCTGAACTCTCTTTATGCCATACAAGAGTTCGAGTAAAAATTTTGATGAGTCCCAAATTCAAAGCTTAGAGGCAAGTAAACAATCTCAGTAACCAAAAACAAATTGTTATGCTTAATTTTTAAACACAGTAACTCATGCAATCCAGATAAAATGGAACTGTAGAAAAGCAATTTTCTTTTTTCACTTGCTTGTAATGTCTTGGAGATCAGACTTTTGCCAAAAGTTCTGTCAAAACTAAAAAATTATTTCAATACATCTTGAGCAGGAAGAACACAATGTTCAGTCACACGTGAGCAAAGTTTAGGATTTTAGTCACAATTGATTGAAAATGCTCTTTTGGTCTTGGTTCACAAAAGAGAATTGGTATTAAATATGTCCTGCTGTTTTTTAATAAGAAATTTCAGAGATATTTGAGCACAGCATACCATAAAAGAGGTGAGATAAAGGTAAAGAAACACAGTATCAGTTCTTAACATCAGTGAAGAGTTGAACAAAACCAATACCTGACACATCAGACCTGGAAAAAATCCCTTCTCATGTTTCCTAGTGCATGATACTTGAAACAGAAAAATCTGTTTGGTAATTTTCAAGTATAAGGCTTTTTAATAGAAGAGAAAAACAATGCAAGATAAACGTTAAAGAAAATATGTTAAGAAATAAAGAAAAGCAGGGAAAACAAGGAAAAAACTACAAGTAAATAAAGCCCTGAGGCAGGTGGTAGCTGCCAGAGTACATAAGCAGTTCCATTTTCAAGATAGTTTTGCTTTTTTTTTCCCTCTTAATTACAGTCAAATTTCGATTACTTATGATCTGCAACCAGATCCATGAATATCATGAAGCATCTATGCTGTGGAATCAGAGTGTCACAAAGGCTGAGACCAACATTACACTCTGCACCTTTAAACTGTACTGACTACTCTGCCATTCTTCTGGGCCAAGCACATAAAAATATGATAAAAGCCCAGTTTTTAATTTGATTTTTTTAGCATGCATTCTGACTAATAATATTCAAAATTAACTTTAAAAAATTAAGTCTGTATCAAATCATTAGTGGTTGTGGTACACTGCTCTACTGCACCCTGTGAACAAAACAATCTCCTTAAAGTGCACGTGGTCACGGGTTCAGTGTTCAGTCTGTGCTTTCTGAGTAAAATTTAGAGGGTATGCTCTAATGACAATGCAAAAGAGAAAGTCAGAATAAGCATTGCCCTTCTTACTGCCAGCATGTGATGCCAGACCATCACTGATCTCATACTGATTGTGGACAGCAGAATGCTGGTCTTACATTGAGGTTTGAAAAGTATTTATACCTTGCACTGAGGAAAATTGCTTTTCTGATTTATGTTTGGTTCTAACAACAATTGTGCCAAGTTTAAAGTAGTTTCAAGTTTTTCTAAACATCCAAAAAGTGCAATAGAAAAGAACATTTAAGTTGCTATTCACAGCCAACATATCACTCAGTGGGACATGGCCTGTTAAGTGAGACACACTTAGCACAAAAGGCCTAATTTACTCATTTATGTTTCCAAAATGATTGCAACAGGAATAGAAAAGCCTGCTCTAGAACAAGATCCTCTAACTCAGCTGTGCTTGCATGAGATGATGTGAGTGGTACTAATGCCAAGTATTCTGTTTACACCTTTTATCTCTCTGTAATACTGGACATTTTCAAATCTTTATGCATATATATATATATATGCACATAGATAATGGGCATTAAATGGTAGCAGAGCATTAAGTGAGCACTAAGTACTGAACAAAATCAGACAGCACGTGACAGAAAACAGCACATGAAGCTGTAATTAGAGGGAAAAAATTATGTTGGGTATTCACATAAATTCACAGCCTGATATAAAGCAGTTATATGCTCCCTATTTCTCCTTTAGTGATCAGGCTACCATACAGAGTTCTGGTATTCCAGCATTAAATAGAAACAGATTATAGAAAATTGAAATACAAAAAGGACAAATCTTAAGGTGTAAAAGGTAAAGGATTAAAACAAAGAAAACTCACTTTCCAATATAGTTGGGAATATTAATTATCAAAAGGTGAATTAAAAGTGAATTAAAATAATAAAAGAGTTATAAAGAGGAGTATTCATAAGAAAATGTGTAGCAAAGAATTAAAATATACTACAATGAAGAAATTTAACATTCAGGAAGCCTATATTTTAGAAAAAAGTATTCTATACAATACACTTTTGAATGCACTGATATGTCCTATCTTGTTCAAGAACCACTCATATAAATATTACCTTCTATTTACCTTTCTTTTTTTCAGTTGAAATTTAAGATACAAGGGTCAAATGAGAAATCTGTGGCTAGAAATGGACACTTAAAACTTATGATATGCCCTGCATCTGTTCAGGAAGCAGTGGGAACATGCCACATATACATCCAAGCAAAGAACTTGCAAATGGACAAATTTAACTTTCTTTTAAATATCAGAAAGGGAAGAGAAACAAACCCCTGTTAATAACCTCTGCAGTATGGCAGCTCTCCTTGTTCTCTCTTAGGCAACAGATAAAGAGTAGTTACACAGGTTCCATGTAACACAATGAATTCTTATCCTTAACAAAGAATAAATTACTCACACTTATGCCAAATCAGTTGAATGAAGACTAAAAAAGAAAGACTGAAGTGTAACATTAAATTTATATTCCATAAAAAGATTGAAATTTTACCTTTGTGCAACAAAGGTTTTAGATGGGGGCAGGTAGGGGAAAACACATTAAAACAGTACACAGGCTGTTACTCCATGTATTTTTGCAGGATGCTAATAAATGTTTTTAATCTATGAAACATCTGGTACTAAAAATCCAATTTGTACGTTTTTTTTAAAGATGGAATAGTTTTAAAGTGCATAGCATAGCTTCTACAAAAATCTGCACAAAACTAACAGCATGGGTCTATCCTTTAGGCTTTTTCTAGGAGTATAAAATATGCAGAATCCTACCAGGCCATATTGCCATGGGCTGTGTTGTCAAGGTGACAGAGTAGCTCCAGGGTTTGAGTGTTGCTTGATGAATCATCAGGGGATTCATGACTGCCTGATTCCAATTCCTTCGGCATCCTCCAAACAGCAGCACATGTCATGACTTTAGTGTCTGAAGCTAAGCAACAGAGAATAATGTCAACAGATCATTGTATGGAGACGTATTTTGTATACACTGCATCAACATTTACACAAATCTATAAGCAATGCACATCTGCTGTTTGAAATATTTAAAAATATTATACCAAGATGAATTCAATGAATGCAGAACGTGGCTACAGAGACAGACCTCAAGTTAGCAGTCAAGTTGCTGCAAAACTTATAATTAGCACACATTTAATGTGCTTCTCCCTGAATAAATGCAAAATTAAATGCTCATGAAAACTCTTTGGGAGGCAATTTTTCCATGCTTCATTCCCCATACCAGTGTTAATGAAAAAGACCCACAAGTTACATTGCATGATTCCTTAACAGTAAGGATGTAGACATCATTTAAACATTTTTCTTTTAAGGGCTAGCTTCAGTTCAATCCAGAGCCTCATCTCATATCCTTTACTACCAATAACTGTTTACTACAAATTAAGTTTCCCATGTAAGTATATGCCTCTAATCCTAGCAAATAAAAACAGCAGAAGAATAAAGACAAACTGAACTTACATGCATATAGCAAAATATTACAATGTATAAAGAACAGACCACTGTAGATTGAGGAGAAAATACCATATGCACATATGGCATTGCCCATCACCCAATACAGCACTTTGTAGCAGTGCAGAATGGGAGGAGCACTGCACATGTTCCTGCAGCTCCAGCCACTGGTCCGGGGTTCGCCTAAAATGAACAGGTCGGGATTATCCTCTACAGCAGAAACAAAGAAACCAGCCACAGCTACATTAAGCAAAAGCAGGGGGAGCGACCGCCTGCTGAAGGATGTGTTAAATGAGAAGTCCAGACTGGAAGCAGCAACGAACAACATGTTTTCTGTTCTGAGGTCATTTCACCTGCCTCCCTCTCAAAGTTCTACCTCCAAGAACATTTTAGATGATTTTAGTCAAGAGTGTCTCATCATAGAGCCATGAGTAAACGTGACCAACTTCCATCAGTGGAAAGGAAAACAGGAACAATTGTAATGAGAGTGTTTTCTGGAGGAAGGAAGGAGACTGAAAAAGTCTTCCTAGTCTAAAATGGCACTAATGGGGGAAAAAAGGTGTCTGATAAAGGTCACCAATCAGGGTATTCAAAGTGGAAAAAAAGGCACTCAACACAGAATAGGACAAAAAGGGATTGATACATAGTAAATAGTCCCAAATGCAAGAATGTAGACATGTTTAAAAAGCAGGCTTATGAAATAAATTAGAAAAAAGGTAGTTAGGTCAAACCTGTGAGAAGGAAACAGTTATAGGAGGACGACTTTATATGAATTCAGAACACACAAGCCCTGGGTATTTGATTTGATCAAAATGAATATAAAATATATGTATGATGCACATAAGTATTCTACAGTAATATGGATATACAAGTTGAATACAGTATCAAGAGATAATCCCCTATTTATTAACACTTAATCGAACCTTTATAACTGTAGAGCATGGTAACTAAACAGCTATTTCCAAATCATTTCAGGCAAATCGTTTACTCTAAATCCATGTGCTACGGAAGAAGAGGAGGAAGCAGCAGCAGATGGCTGCCTTCCCTTAGCAAAGGGCTAATCCATGCTGTGTATGTCATGCAAATAATAAATAACCTAAACTCAAAGTGCAATATAGTTAAAGAAGGTGAGATTTACCAAATGTTGCGCCTCAATATGAGACAGAACATTAATGAACACTGCAGAGAAGCTCCTGGTAGATTATAATTACTGAAAGGCCTGTGTTGCACATATAAAGCATGAGCTTTTCCAGTATCTTCAAGATCTATGAAGAGAACCACGAAAGCAAACCATGGAAATCAAACTAGATGTTCCTCAAGCCATCCTTCTTCTTGGCACAGCACCACAAGTCTTAAGACTGGCTCAAAATGTCACAAAGAAACTTAATATTCAGGAAACTGAAATTTTAGAAAAAAAAAAATAGTCTAGACAACGCTTTTGAATACACTGATAGGTCCAATCTTCTCCAAGAACCACCTAATAAATATTACCTTCCATTTACCCTTTTCCTTTTATTTGAAATTTAACCTACAGGCCTCCAACTAGTAATCAGTGGCTAGAAACAGATCCGTAAAACTTGCAGTACATAACTGAAAATCAAAAAAAAAAAAATATCGAGAATTAACTATCATTTCTAAAGTATTTTTTTATCAGCTAGATAATAAATAGAAATGTTTATGCAAAATATTTTGAAAAGAACTGACTGGTTTTAAGTATTGTTCCCTTTTGATATAATTTTAAATTACCCCTACTAGAATATATCTAAATATAATGAGATTATGATGGATACCTTACACAGCAGGTGTCTGAATACAGAAACCAAAGAAGTCCTTTCCACTCCCAGGTATGAAATCTACAGCAATATCTGCGCTGATGTTGCATTATCCTTCTTCAGTTTCAGATCAGATTTGTAATTTCATTTACAAAAATCTGCTGTGTTATTCCACATTTTTTTCCTTAAAACTCTCTTTTAACTGTGAAATGGCCTTTAAAGCTTCCATAATAACCTTCTATTCCACATTTTTTCCTGACAAATTACAGCAGACCACATTCTTATGGTTTCAACTTTTTCTGCTAGTAGATGGGTCAGGTGGTCCCAAAATTACATCAAACAACACTGTAGCTGGTAAAACGTGGAGTGAATGTATTAACATTTCTTTGCCCTGCATCTGTTCAAAAAGCAGTGGGAAAATGTCATATACACACAGCCATAAAGCAATGAACTTGCGAATACACAATGGACAAATCTAACTTTCTTTTGAATAACACAAAAGAAGGGGAAACAAACTCCTGCAGTACTGCAGCTCTCCTTGTCTTGTCTCAGGCAACAGAAAAGAGTAGTTACACAAGCACCCTGTAACATAATGAATTCTTAACCTTAACAAACAATAAATTACTTGCACTTAAGCCAAATCAGTTGAGTGAAGACTGAAGTGCAACATCAAATTTATATTCCATAAAAAGATTGAAATGCTAAGTATTTTACCTTTGTGCAATGAAAGTTTTAAATGAGGGCAGGTAGGGAGAAACATTGTCAAACCATCTTTCCTCTTAACACAGAACCACAACCTTAAGACAAGGCCTTGAAATGACATTTTAACTTCTTAAAACTGGAACATTAGTTTCTTGCACAATCAGATTTCCAGATGAAAAACTCTAAAACAACTAAATAAGCACTATTTGGAAGACTGAGGGAGGTCAAAGCATATGCTTGTATGTTTGTACATATACCTATAGAAATCCCCCTGACACTTGATGCGACCCAGGCTCCTATAACATTTTGGTGGTTTGAAAATTGAAGTACAGGTTGGTGCAGAATTTCATATGCATAATTTTGTACCATTCCATGCCCGTTTCACTTCACTGGGACTAGTGCTGAGGGATAAAATTAATTGCACATCAGGAAGGGATAACATTAAAAGCCAACACGCACAAAACGTTGACACTTGGCACAGACATCATCCTCTGCTTTTAGCTGCATTTGATGATGCTCAGGGAAAGTGACAGACCACTTTCCAGCTGTTGAATGACCATCCATCATGAACAACTGTATGTGCATTGCAAATATTCCAATTTTAATTTTAAACTAAGGATAAATGCTGGAATTAGTTACATGGCTGAAATATGTAGAACAAAGACTTCGTTCAGAGCACTACTAATTTCTCCTTTGACTTTTTATGTACTTATCTACAGTTCTGACACTTTATTAATTCCCAGATGTGTGAAACTAAAATGGAATTGCCACAGCCACCCAAAGAAGTAATTTTAGATATGACTGGCCTTAAGGTAGGCTTAATTTCCCTTTATATATGGAACTTTTAAAACATACCATTTTCTCCCTTGTAAAAGAGAGGGCAAATGTAAGTGTTGAGTGAAACTGTCACTCTTATGACAGATGAAGTAGAGCTTTTTCTGGGTCACAATTCCTCTTAATCAAATAACCACTGTCTACAAACCTACAGAAACACAAACAAAAGCACTAACTCTCACTACATTGAAATCAAAGTCTTACAACAAACTTCTCACAGCCATATGACAAGTTTACTAACAGTATGCAGTATCTGTGGCATTACCCACATAGCTTTTATTTCCCAAGTGATCATATTAAAATTTGAAAATCCAGTGCTACTAGGTAATTTCACTACCACCTCTGTAGTGTCATTGCTTATCTAGAATGCCTACAGGCAAAGAGAAACTCCAGGTTTCCCCATTTTTTAGTATATTCACATCACACTACTGCACATATGCATATAAAATGACAATGTTTTTATCTACCAGCTCTCATTCCTTAAAAATGTTGAGACCAATATGAAAGTAATATTTAAATGACAATGCCAGTTATTCTGCAAAAGAAAGAAAAACAAGCTAAACACAGTGTCTCTATATCATGCTGCTATGCCTTCCTTAGAACTATTAACATGGCTGGAAACCACTTTTGCATCCCCACTTCATACTGAAACCAGAATTTTTATTAGTTACAGCACCAATGCAGAAGAGAATAGATAAGTTTAAGCTAGATTCTGTTGCAGTCTTATCACTGAATGTATTAGGAAAAATGTTATTGGGTTAAACTAAGCACTATTGAACTTTCAGAGAGAGTAAGTGAAAAGTTTGCAGAAGGGTGTCCCATTGTATTCCTCTAGCACTGTTCACATAAAATGATCCAGGAATGAGACAACAAACTGTTGAATCATTGTCACATTTGTTCCTCCTCATTCAAGAGGAATTCCTTGTCTAAGTCATCATGCAACTTCAGTATACCTTTTGTTAGGTATTGCTAAGAATGGAGCTCAATGTACTGTTCCAACAGCAACAACCCCCTGCTAAGCACCATTTCCACAAATCCATCAATACTACCTCCTGGGCAGAGGATACCATCTGCTAGAGTGACTGTACACGTATACCTGGTTCTGTTGCAATGATCCAGGCTTACAACCAAGCAAAACAGAATTTAAAGAATAAACAAGTAA